CAAAAAAAAAAAAAAAATGGCATTATATATTGTTTAGTCATTTTTCCGAATTCGAACGGTGGTGAGCGATTGCAGAAAGTCTGACTTGATCGTGACCGTCGATCTTGGCGATAAATTCCTGCCAAAGATTGAAAAATTTGGAACTCAATACTATTTGTAGTTATTGTAACTGCTAAATTGTCTAGAAAGTGATCATTTTAGATGTTTGTAAGATAAATACAGATATACTGATCGACTTACGACTGATCCCGAGACTAATATATAAGCATCCGTAGGATTCTCGTTTTGCAAGATCACGTCTACCTTCGGAGGATAGTACTCGGCTTCCATTTCATGGACCTTCCATTAATGAGAAAACCTCGATCATTATGAATATAAACAAAAAAATCTGACTATGTTTTAAGAAAAATGTACCATCTGTAGATGGAAATCTCGAGAAGTCCCTCTAAAGAGATCGACATTTTTTACGACATGGTAAAAAAGATAATGTGAAATGCTCGAACGAATGGCTTTGGGCAGGCCGTTTATCGTTTCTTGCTGCTTTAATCCTTGTGTTTTGTACTTGAGGCAAATGTGTGATAGAATCTGATCTCGAATATCGCTCGGCAAGTGGTTTCTTCTAGAAAATTCTGAAGCAACCGATATTGTTTCCCTCTGCACCACCACCAGCAAGGCTATGTTTGGTAAAACTAGCTGATAAGTGATTTTCGAGCTTATAACTTATAGATTTATGACTTATAGTTGAAAAGTTAGTTTATATGATAAAAGTGTGGTAAAATTAGTTGATAAGGTAGTTGAAATTATGAGCTTGAGCTACTCAAAGAAGCGTATGAGGTAAGTTCGAACTTTTTAAAAGAACTCGTCATGCCAACCGGAGCTTATTTAAATACAAGAAGCTTAAGCTAGCTTATTTGGTTGCTAAACATAGCCCATATCGAACGGCTTAATTATTGTTCGAAAACTTGTGAATAAAAGGATACCGAATACGGGAAGGAAAGATAGAGATCGTACGAAATTGCTCGTTCGGTAGCTCCAGTGAACCGCGAGGTTCGTCATGTTGCCTATAATGTAAGAAGTCAATCCTAGGTTGAAAAGCATGTACATAATATCAAACACCATCTCTCTCGGATTCTCCGCGTGCAGGTCACCGTAGCCTGTGGTGGTCAACGTCACGATCGACCAATACAATGCGGCCACGTACTTTTCCCAAAGACCCATTTGCTTGAAATTCGGATAAACGGCCCCTATCCATGTTCGTCTTGGGTTCGGGTATCTATCGGCAACCATATAGTTGAAACACCCGGCACAATGCACCGCAAATAGAGTCACCTGAATTTTTTTTCCATAGTTTCGATGTAATATTTGATTAACACGAGGATATTTTATAAGAATAAGAATAAACGAAACGAGACTCGAAAAAAAAATAATAAAAAAACCCACGGATATCAGTTTCGTGCAGCGAGTCCAGAAGTAGTTGAACCGTATGTCCTTTTCAAGCCTAAAAATGTTTAAAATAAGTTCGGTCAGAAGTAGTTAACCGAACCGAGGTGAACCAAACCTCAGGAGAATTGAACCAAACAATAAGCAAAGATCTTTTAAGTCTTAGAAAATATCGAAAAAATGCTAAAAAAAAAAATATTTCTCACCTTGCGAAAAGTGAGCTGACTCTTCTGAGTCGCCAAAGCCTTAACATGCTCAACAGGTCAAAACCGAGCCCGCCATTGTGGTTTATAAACAGCATGCGAACGGACTGAAATGGAATTGTCGAGCACAAATCGAAAACGAACCAAGTCGATAAATACCTTATTGCTATCTTTTCCGGGTTGTCCCTTAGCAGATAAGTGTGACTATCGATATAAGCCACGAAAAACGTGAGAATAATGTCGATAGCAAAGAAGCCATTGACAATGTTGTCGGCTATAAACAGAGCATCTGGTTCGTAAGTAAATAGAAATGCGAGCTGAAATGGAGAAATCCAAGCAGAGTATATAACCAAGAGAAGTAGGAAAATCTCCCAAGCCCTGAAAAAAATTAAATAAATCAATGAATAAAATTCGAACCCGAAAGAAAAGATAAGAAAAAGAAAAACAGAACGGTTCTAATTACCTGTAACGTGGATCGTATGGGGATATTATGTGCCTGCGAAGTTTTGTGGCTCGACTGATTTTAGCCCCTAATAAAGGAAGAAGGTCGGTAGAGAAGAGACCACTGTAAATTCCCGAGCTCGTTCGCGAAAAAGACATTTAACCGGGTTTTCGAAAGAGTTCTTGATTTGTTTCTTTTGTGCAGTTTGGTTTAAGTTGAGAATAGGGAGTTTATATATAACTCAGTAAGGAGAAGTGCTTTACTGGTGTAGGCTTCTTTTATCATGGCTCAACCTTTCTATTTTGATGAAAGTTAGTTTTTTTTGTTTCCTTCTTCTGTGAATGCATTATTACTATGAAGGGCCTAAAAGAAGTTTGAAAGTGGCGAACAACGTGAGTTTTTGTCGAAAAGCAAGATTTTTTTCGAATATTGGAGGGGCTATTTATGATTGATTATCAATCAATCAAGCACTATTTGGTCATTGTTTGGAGGACAAGGATTTGAGTGAAAAAAGATTAAGAATTGGAGGCTCAATGTCAAAATATCAAGAAATGGGGGGCAAATTAACAAGCAAAAAACGAAACCTTTTCGTTCGATGTAATGAAAAGTTCTGCGTCGATCAGTAATTGTTCTTAGTGGGCAAGAAAAAAATTTTAACGATATTCTTCACTTTCGTTTTCGTGCAATGCAGGTCGGATTGTTAGTGTTCTGTAGGATTGTGTGTGATAAAAACTGTTTGGAGTAAGAAGATATTCAGGTATAATTGGTTGAGAAGCAATTTTATGTACAAGAGAATAAGAGATCTCCAAAATCTTTATGAGTTTGATGGATGGATCCATTTGTAAAGACAGATATAGATCAGGTTAACAGAAACAACTCATTTTCATTTTTTATTTGTTTATGCTCATTAATTTTTTTATTTATTTATTTATTTATCAATTTTTTTTTTTGATGTACAAATGAGTTTGAGGTTGTGTTAGGATATGGTAATTGGTTAGGACAATGAGAACCATATGTATTTGTGAAGTGGATTTATGGCCATATAATATATTCCCCTGCCCTCAGTCCAGATGCACAATGTCATAATATATGCAAATTTATTGTATC